AGAGGTTTGAGAAGAGCAGCTGAAATAGTCATTCTTTCAAGTGTGAATCAAGGTGCCTAAAATCATCAAGTGGTTTGCAGTAACCATCTCATACAGGAAAACTGCTGCAGAAATTATTTTTAATCCAAGACACCTACCTTGGACCTGTCAGTAGCCACTTACATCTCAGCTAAACTCTCATCTTAAAAATAAATGTTTTTATGCAGGCATTTACAGACATATCCAATTTTTTTAATGCAACTGGAGAATATGAGAGTAGTACCCCACTCTTTAAAATGAGCTATAGCTACTCAGTGCAAGTCAGAAGCCTAGATTCACCTTTTCATGGAGAAAGTGAAGCCCTTTTAATCACTAGTCTCTGACCTACTTGAGGGAGTAACCATGTTCTTCTCTCCCAGTTGGATTACTATAACGTTAGCTAATCTTTTATCTGGGGAGTTCTTGAACTTCAGACAGTCTCTGTCAGAACAGAGTTGTCAATGCACAGGGGAGCTGATGCACTGAAATAGAAAAAAATATGTATGTGAGGTTTTGTCACCATTAGGAAGAGACGGCAACTGAACAAGACTATTCAAAATCATAGTTTGAGGCCTAAATTTTGTGTAAGCTTCTTGTCTACATAAATTCCAGTTTTGTGTAAGATGTGCCTCAATTGTTTTTGGAATCTAGTCCTAAATTCTATACAGATGGTGGATAGACTACTACATGTTTGAACGGGATGAATTTTTTATCCAAAGATTATATATATTTTCACCTCATTAACTTTACTGTACCAATATAAAGTACAGAAAGCAGTGATAAGAAGTTGAGAAAAGTTCTGATTATTTTTCACACAGTAACAAATTTAAAGACCATAAGGAACTTTCTGCTTATTTGATCTCTTAATGCCAGTTGTAGAACATTAATGGCTTTTCAGGAGAAAACATCCAGTCCCTCCTTGGAAGATCTATTCTCATGAGCTAACCTGATAAAAGATACTGCCTTGCTTATACCCTTAAATAATCTGGCTACAATGCTATTCCTAGCCTACCGGAACAGGGTTGAGGCAAAGATGAACTTAGTTACAAAATAAAGACACCACACTCCTAGTCCAGGAAAGTACTTCACATATGAATAAGCTTGAATTATTCCATTCAAATTATCTTCAATATCCAAGTAGCTAAAGTTAATTAGATGTTTAAAGTTATTTACTACATTTTGATCCAAAGTGGAAATATTTTGCTATGCCCAGCTATCATATAATGGTCACACAATCTGTAAAGTCACTATACGTCAATTCACACAGAAAATAATTCAGCTGGAAAGAATTAAATTGTATTTCTAATCTTTAAGTTTTTAGACATCTTCTACAACTTCCTATGATACTTAAACCACCTTAAACTTCTGTGAAAAGAATATATTTCCTCGCACACTATAAATATATACATATAAATGCAATGAGAAACAGTAGTTCTGGTATGAGGCAGTTCATCGTTTTGGATGCTTTTTATATTTAGCATCAAACTTTTGACACAGTTGATTAAATGTTTGCACAACAGAGTCCTCTTCATCCTCACAGAGTTCAGTTAAACACTGGAAAATTAAAGGAGATGATTAAATGCACAACTGATTTTATATATAGAAAAAAAATTCCTAATGTAGTGTTTTATACAGAGTTGTTATGAACAACTTACGAAGTTTCAAATTAGGAACTATCCAGAGGTAGCCAGTCATTTTTATCAGTATTTCCTATGTGGTTTTTTTTGTTGGACTTTCTAAAACGTGAAACTCTGATCATGCCCATCTTGCCTGCTTTTCTGAAAGTAATCACCGTAGAGGAATGTTCAATATCCAACAGTCAACTCCATGTCTGCTTAAAATCTACTGGATTTTGATATGTTTCAGGGTATTGAACTTATAAGAATAAGGCAAGGATCTCTCCCGGACTCTAGGGATTTGCATCTGCTCATAAGGACAAACCCATTTATGTGAGATTTCTGAAACGGATCTGTGACCCATTCTGCTTGGATGAAGTACTCTGCTTTTTAGCACAGCAGTAAGCAAGGCACTACAAGAGGAGCCTAGCAGTATTTTTGTTCTAGGCAAGGAGAGGATCCAGGTGGTTTAAGGAGGAACATGTATAGGAATATACAGGCAGCAGAGGATAAAAGAACTGGTCGTGAGTAAACAGGTTGCTGGTCAGTAGGTACGTCTGGCCATGCCCTGTACCTAATCACCACAGTCTGTCCCATTTCTTATTAAACTCCACTTCTGTTTCCCCTGGGAACCAGGTACGTGTGCGTTTTTCTGGGAGTGAGACAGCTGGAGGAATTGGCTACTAGAGGGACAAGGAGGGCCAGGCCAACTGCCAGAGAGACAAAAATATCTGGGGGTTGCCTGAGAGACCTGCTTGCATGTGGGGGGG